TTGATTTTATTTACATTAATTTATTAACATTTGTTTTATTACGCTTTTATCAAGTCAAGGTCAACCTTGACTTGAATTAGTTTCGTTTTCACTTTCGATTTCACATCTTCTCTGCACGTGGCTGACGTGAACAGAGCTCTCTACTCGAGCTCTGATCTTGTTCTGGTATTAGCCTGGGAACGTCGGTTTCAGCTTTCAACAGGGGATCTGGTACCGTTATTAGATTGGTCTTCTTTTTTGTTACGGGCAAACGTAACAGGTAGATAGAGTGGAAAAAGATCCACGATTGAGTAATTTTTGGGAAAGCAATGTTTTACCTTTAGACTGTGTTAATGCTTCTTTTACAGCAATATAAATGCGCTGTCGGTTGGCATGCATTCAGTAAACGTTTTTTAATTAATCTATGTGCAAGCAAGCATGTGCATTTTGATCATCTGTTTGTTACGTTTGCCGTAACCAAGAAAAACACACTTAGATAAACGGTAGCGGATCCCTTGTCTGACGTTAGAACCGACTCTCTCACGCTAATGCAAGATAAGACCAGAGGTCGTCCAGAGTGCTTTAATCGTCTCAGCCAATGGGCGAGTGATTTGTCAGAAGGCGTGACCTTGACCTGATAGATGAAAGCGGACTAACGCAGGTGTTGGGGAATTGATGTAATTAATGACAAGAAACCCGCGAACACTCATCCTGAGGAATCCTGGATCCCAACGGTGTTGTAAGATGTTAAACAATGAGTGAATTTTGGAACTGTGACAAAGGTATTAAAAAATGTTCATGTGGAACAAGCACTTGCTCTTTTGACAGTTTAAAGTGGTTTACTCAATTCAGCAATGGCTGCTACATTCCTAATGGTGGACATTGACAAAGACTGTGCGTGATGCATTTAAAATAATCTCTGCATTACTACTAAAAAGATCATAAAGAAACTAAATTTTGGCAATTCCACTTCATTTCACAAGTTATGTTAACTAGAGCGCACTATGAAACTCAGTACATGGGTTCCACAAGTTTTGACAGAATGCAACAAAGCGATCTGTGATTCCACAGTCAATTCGTTCCTCGCCCGTCCACAAAACGAGCCGCTCTTGGTCCAAGTCATACCCAGAGATGGAAGGAGTCGGTGTGTGCAAAATAAACAGTAAAAAAGAAGCGGGAGGCTACAAAGTGAATAAGCAAAGGCTGATGTGCATTAACAACCATCTTTGAAACAAAACCACACCGTTGTGTGCAGATGTAGTAAGTAACCAATATTTATAGAAGGTAACACGGAGCACGTCGTTGATTAATAAAACCATTTTTTCACAAAAGTGTGGTTGGTTAGATGGTTTCAAACGTTTGTGCACACTTTTGCGATTACCTAACGCATAGAAGATCAATTTTATTGACCTTAATTCCAAAGATTGAAAGACTTGGTGGATTCGAACAGGACACAGGAGCGGATTCCACTTAAATGCTTTATCAATTACCCAAAAATGGAGCATTTTTTCTCAAAATCAATTTAAATTGGGAAATAAAATAACAATAATAATACTGCCTGGGTGATTACAGCTTATGTCACTGTTTAGCAGACTAAACTACGTTAATAATGAAGTCATTATATGTACCATTTGAATGCTAGATAACTAAATGGCAGCTTGAGACATCAAAGCGTTCGCAGTCTGTTGAATGCAGAATTCATTTTAACCTCAGTCAGATGCAGTCACACGTTTTTTTAAAAAAAATGCTTTTTTTCAAAAGAAGCCTTTATTGATAATTAAAATGCCAATTTTATAGGCCCAATTGTAAGTGATAAAGCAAATTATGCATTTTTTCACGATGGCACTTGTGATGTTCACTTCCGACTTCAAAGGTTTCTTCAAGCAATTTTTTTTTAAATTGAGACGACAGTACAGTGTGGAATTCTATTGCAACTGAATGTTACTTAGTACGGGAATAATTGTGGTTTAAAATTGCGCTCTAAGTTGTAAGAGCACATGCATTAATATTTAGTAATTAATTAAATTTAATCTCGCGTTTCACAGGCTTCTAGATTTGATTTGACACACAGACGTTACCTCTGATAATTCGCCTCAAGTTATTCGCAAATAAGCATTTTGAGTAATATTAACCTTGTACTGTTTTAAAATTTTGCTAGAGATCAAATATTGGACCCGTTTTAGGAAACTTGTCACAAAGTAGGAGGAAGCAAAGCGGCCTGGCATTAAAATCCAGAGACTAGTACGGAACCTAACAATAGCTATGTTTGCATTTTAGCGCCCACAAAAATAAAATGTGCCGTGGTTTGTCATATGAGACGAACTTTTTGCTATCAAGGGTTTGTTTCCCCCTTGTTTGTGTGCCATATTGGGCTTCCATCTTTATAAATCTCACTTTAATTGATCAGGGAGATAGAGGCTTACCAAGATGGCTCGAAAAATCAATTTTAGCTTCAGAAATCAAAAATATTCATTGGGAAATTTTAGGAATAACCTAATTTAGAAGGTGGAATTTAGAAAAGCAGAAAAAAATTGGAAAATTTAATGGCGTTTACTGCTTTCTTTATGGGTGGTGCGATATTGGGCTTCACATAGTCACTCCCTTTGATAAATAAGATATTTTGAGTTGATCAAAAGAAACGGAGTGACATTTTTACGACTTACGACTACTGAAATGAAATAAGATAGTTTGGTCATGCTTTTGGCCAGTTGGAATGCTTTAATTGTGTGATCGGTGCCACATCACGATCCACACAAGTGTCGGCTTTCAAGGCTGAGAAATTTGAACCTGATGCCAACGTGCTACAAACAGCTGCTGGAATCACCTGTTATTTGAGATTCAAGAACCTTAATCCATGCCTTTATTGGCCAATCACTTCGCATTTTTGTGTCAAGCCGCGAGATTTACCGTGAAACAGGGCAGACAATTCCTGGGCCCTCAGACGAACTTAGATGCAAAATTAAGCTAGCAGTATCAGCAGCGCAAAATCAACGTTGGCGCTCAACCGTGACTTCACCCACAACCCCAATCACACTTTATGAGGGGGTCACATGTGCCAGGCATCGCCAAGTTTGAAAACAAGTTCAAAACCTGTAAACGTGGCAACTGAGGAAGTGCACTTGATACCGTGGCCTTGTCGAGCGGCCTTGAAGTCAGTGAACACAAATATCCGGCCTTTGCAGCCATTCACATATCGGCGCGTGATTCAGTGAAAACAACTCCTTCTCTTGGTCTTTTATTGCCACCATGTAAAGGCACCCACACACACTTACAATGGTACAGGGCTTTTAAAAGTTACAGACAGCAACTTAAGCCCTAGAGGGCAGACCTGCTGGAATCGAAGACGAAACAGGCATAGTCGGTTCTTAGCACTGGATATCACGACAGTAAGTGAGTAGAAGGCAAACGTTGAACATAAGATAAAAAAAACATATACAGGAACAAACTGCGAGTTTGAATAGAGATCCAAAGAAAACCGGTTGAGTTAAACAAAGGGGTTTGCGGAGTGTAACATGAAAAATATTATGAAGTGAATCTGTCGCCTCATGTTTACAAATAACACCAAAGTGGATTCACTTATTAGTAACTAGTTAATCAATAAAAACTGTCCACATCAAATTTAGTTCAAAAAGTAATTATACCGACCTCTGGATGCTCAACCCGATTGCAAAAATGATTAAAAGAATTGAGTGTTCGTAGACAGTTTATGCAAGTAGGTGCCTAGAAAGCGGTTTTTACGAGCTTTAATGAAAGTTTCTAAGTGTTGTCTTAATTTTCTGTTATCCACGGTTAACTGATAATTTTGTGCTGCGTTGCATTGTGGGTTCACACTTCACAAATTATGGAAAAATTAATTCAATTTAAGCCAATTCAAATTTTCTAAAGCAGATATTTTTGGTTGGTTAATTTTACAAGACTAGTAATATGGGTTCGGGCGCAGTTAGTAAACAATTTATTGGTTCTTAAAGTTTATAAAGACTGCATAAATTAGCACTTTGTCGCATGCATCTGAAAATTAGCAGTGGTAAAAATCAAAGTATGGGATCAAAGGTTTACCTAAATGAAATTTTATAGAAAACATTTTTCGTTAAAAAAAACTTCTCTTTATGAAAAATTAGATTTTGGAACTGTGTCAAGACAAATTAGTTGCAAATTGCTGCGTCGGTTCTTTTAAAGTAAGTTATAACGAATTTATCCAAAGTGATTATTACTGCGTTATGTTGTTAGAAGTCGAAATTTTTGTCATTTATTTCACTTATTTTTGTCAATGTGATTGCATAATTTTTGGTATGTATTTGAATATTAGCAACGATGAAAATATACTTGTGGGATTTGACAAAAGTAGTTTTGTTGTCTGTGTCGTAGTTAGCGAAATAATGCCGAGCTTTTGTGGGTGCTTGGTCCAAAAATATTGTTTTTACAAATTTTCAGCAACACACATTTCAACCATCCACAACCTTATATTTCATTATTAGCAAGTTATGCGGTGATATTTCTTAAATAATTTCCCTCAGTAGAGTGCTTGCAGGTTTAGTAAAAGTGGTACTGCCGAACGACACCGAACACTTACCTAGGTGCGAGGTGGTTAGTCAAAATTTTGGCTGGCAGTAATTCACATACAATACAATATTTGTGTTGTCTCTTTACATCTACATGGTCCACTAGAAATTATTTTACACGTCAATCGATTTTTATGAAAACACTGGGGGTGACGTGAACGCATTTAAATATCGCGACAAGGTATCAATAAATTTTAAAAATTCGACTTTTTCAAAGGCTTTTGCAAATACATGTGCACAGCATCCTCAAGACGAATACAACTCCTATTTTGTTGGCAAATTGGTACATCGTGGTGGGGTAAAGTACACGGACACCTGACTTCAGCGCATTTGGAGACACCTTTGCCGGGTTTGGGGAGAGGCGTTGATGTCCATCGGCTTCCCTCTTGGCGCATTCTGATTGGCTCTCTTAGTCACAAATATAAGGCACCATTCGTGCGGTTCTTCAGTCTTCCAAGAAGCATGTCGGTGACATCGACTCGTTGGCTGTTCTTTTGTCTACTTTTTGTCATCACTCTGTCTTTTGATATGATTGGTGCGTCCATTAAGTTGACTCAGCACTTTTGCTTTAACTCATGTACAGGTTTATTCGATTTGAGGTCTGTGCGCTGAAAAGTTTGGTCATTTTACCCTCATGATGTGTAAAATCGGGAACTGCGACAATAATTTTAAATGTTCTAATAAGATTTGGAACCTACATTTTATTTACTTCTTGATATTTTGCTAGCATTGTTTTTTTTCAAAACAACTTAACAATAAATGTGCATATTTAAATAAAAAAGCTGTACGTGTGGCGTAGGTACTTGAGGGCAATAATAAAAATATTTACTTAACATAAATATAAATGCCGAAAGTTATTTTTAATTTCTATGTGTCGCCACGGCGTGACATTTGGTGATACGTTTTGAGTTGGGTTATAAAACACGAGCAATACGCCCAGTTTTCCAGAAGTTATGACTTACATTGCATCCACTTTCCCAATTTTGGTGGTCTGTGGAATGCACAATCGAACTTAATCCGTACTTTATGCTACTTGGTTGTTCTTGCAACACTCTTAAAGCATATTCTGCAATTCAAAATGCTTTCGTCTCTTTAAATACCAATTAATTAATGTTGATTTGGTTAAAATATTCTGGAGGCCTTAGCTGGTTGTCGTACCAAATTCCTGACACTTGATCCTCACGCTACAGTTAGAGATTCCCATAGAAACAATTCCGTGCAACAAATATTCTCGTAATGTATTTTTTAAATAAACCCATGTGTCCTAGTACCTGCGCTAACGTCTTCTGGGATCGAGTACACTTTGAATGTTCACAATAGTCCTTCAACATTGAAGACTGCAGCTTCGCCGTTACTGCTTTCGTCAGTAGCGATGCAAGATTGGCTTATTCAATTTGAACAACTTAATTAAATCGATATTAAACGGAACAATCGTTTTATTACATCAACATTTTAAAATGATTTTAGCCACCCTCAAAATTCTAATAAATTTAAAAAAAAACATTAATAAAACTGTTTCTACGCCAAATATATAGACAGGGTTCTCATATTGGATTTGTTCGGCATATTATCAACTTCCGTAAAATTTACTTAAATGCCCTTTTTTAATCCTGATGAGTGCTTGAGCCTAGAAAGCTTTTTTCGTAGACGAGTTAATACGGATTAAAATATCTCCATTCCTGGTTAGGTTAACTGCAAATTTCTGTGGGTTAACCTAGCACTAAATTTTAATTGAAGCAGTGGTTCTATCATTAGTGTGCAACAATGCTTCCTCTTATCATCAATTTTATACCAAAATGCCATTTTCCAGCAAAATTGCTGTTTCCCCCTTTAAATCACTGTTTGCTACCACAAATATCTCTGGGTATACTTATAAATACCCTCTACTCAGGTAAATTAGTAGAAATTTACAATTTCAGCTTACTGTTTTAAGGGCCCCCTTTCGTATTTGCCAAGTTTAGTTATAATACCACCAAAAATTCAATAGTTGCCAAATAATAATATTGAATTTTCACACATGACGCTGATTGGCTAAATTTAAGTTCCCCTATTTTTTTCCGTTTTAACTTATACCATGATATTTGCTGTTTAGATGTTCCTGAAGTATGCAGACCACAACTGCAAACAGCGAACTGCTGGTATTACAGACCGAATTATGTCTACAACCACCTTCTTGATCGGTGCATCTGGAGCGGTTGGAGTTCATGCAATTCAGAACTGAACAGTTTCAGCACCCGGCGCCAGTGCGAGAGAATCTGTCTTGGGAGTCGCCGACGCGGCAGTCCCAACCTCCACGAACGCGACGAATACTACTCGCCGGGATTTTACGAGGAGACGCCGTCGAGAAGATATAGGCCCTACGAGGGACACCAAATTGACTAAAAGGGACGTGCATTTTTGCCCCCCAAATCTCTGATTTCATTAAATCTCTTTAAGTAACTATTTTGGCATTTACATACTATGTAATCGTAATTTAATATACACACATCTCTTATTTGTTCTTCATGCTTAGCGTGGTTTTCCAGACCTCGTTTTGTTGGGCTATATGGTTTGACCTGGTGACAAATAACTCACATAATATCGCCGGTCGGTGTTTCCACTGACTAGACATGACAGAAATCAGACCAAAGTTAAAGCCGAAGGGAAGATAACCCCCAGAAAAATGACTAATAAGCCCAAACGCATGTTGTTGCCTTTAAAAAGAAGGTAAGTGTGTAAAGGACATGGTTAGTTGGACCATAATCCGGATAGCTTAAGCAGATGTGCGACAATCTCGATTTGAAAATCAACCTCAACGCATTTGCGATGATTTTAGCCCAAACAGTATGTCACAATCCAAAGCCATACATCGAACCTCTTATTTTTACAATGATTGCGAATCGGATGACTAATGAATGAGATTTGGGGTGGTTACGGTAGGTCAGCGTCAATAAAAATAGACGTCAGCAGATTGCAAATCACTATCTATACATTTTCAAGGTTTTCAGAGGCGACGTCGAGAGCAAGCAAATGACACTAAATTCAGACCTTGAAACGCAATGTACGAGCACTTCTCCTTAGTTACGTTAACATGCAAGTTTGCGATTATAAAACGTTCCTTACTACTCTCAGTACTAAGTAGATTTAATGCACACGAATGGCAGGATCAAGCACCGTGCTGATTCCCGAGAATACAAGAGTCGAGGCAAAATGATTTCATGCAAATGTTGTAACAGTGAGTAGACTGCTAAGGTAGACAGCATCTCCAGAGATCTTCAAATTCACTTAACGCGGAATTACCACAATTGCTTTGGCCTCTTGATTCTGCTTGTGACACACTACTTGTGCTTATGCAATGTGGATTTCCATTTAGTGGAAAATATGCGGCTACAGAACAGCGCCAAATCTAGAGCAATGTTGAACCAAAGTGACTTCTGGTGAACATATTCATTGAAATGGTCATTTAACAATTTGAAGCATCTGATTGTTTGAGCATATAAACAGAAAGTAAACGCATTTGCGCCTTATGCAAAAAGGCATCAAGCTCTCACCTTAAACCATACATCTATGGTGAAAAACAGAAACTTATGAAGTGTCAATTCGATGGCGCATGCATGCTTTCACCCGACAATTACTGGTTCTATTTACAGAATTCATGCGTAGGCGCAAATATATGATGTTTATGGACACAAGTGATGGATTCATGATTTCCTCTTTGCTCAGTTTTCATCTAAAAGTCAACTTCAACCACATTCTGCCTCCTTTACCGTCAAATTCCAATCATGTTTCACTAAAACTCATCTTTACGCCAGACACGGGCCTGCTGAAGACAAAGCGCAATCTGACAAGCACCAATATTTGATGATGTTGGCATGCTGGCTAACCACACACGTCAGAACTCGCTAGGCGTTCTTTACTGGTATCCAGTATCTGTGAAATCTCATGCAAGGAAGTTTGTACATGTCAAGCGTTCCTTATTACTCGCCAGCACCAAGTAGATTTTATTCACACAAATGGCATAATCACACACCCTGCTGTTTACCTAGTATACAAAATGTGAAGTAAAAGATTTCATCTAAAATGACAACGATGAGCAAACTGCTAAGGTGGACAGCTGTTCTAGAGATATTCAAGTTCACTTGACGCGGAATCGGCACAGTTGCTTTGGCATCTTAATTCAATTTGTGCACGTAACTTGTGGCTATGCAATGAGGCTTTCCACTTAGTCTAAAACACGCAACTACAGAACACCTCCAAATCCACAGCATGGTTGTACTGCAGTGATTTCTGGTGGCAATGTTTATAAAAATGATCATTTTACAATCTGAAACATTGCAGATATAGTAATTAGGATTCCCTGATTGCCTAAACCTATAAACAGATGCACCATTTGTGTTACACATAAGGGGGCTCAAAATATGACCGTTCATTTGTCCGTTGATGATGTATGAAGAGGCATAACAGCGTTGTTCGTGCACCAGCAGCTACACGTGCTGCAGCATCACCTCAAACACCACTAACCCCCACGCTATGTCAATAATTCCTCATCTGTTATAAGTGACTACTTCTACTTGGATTAATAGATGCGAGTTCACGACGGAAGAGTGATGGGACATTTCTGGAAACGGCACAATGAACATCTTCGCAAACTTGACAGCTTCCGTTTCATGAACACAAAGCAGTACACAGTAGTTGCCAGTCCTCTTCTAGTGCCTCCTGCTTGCACATAACAAAACCAGTCAAATGAATATTTCATGCTTGTTACACAATTATACGTCGACTGTGTGATTGCAAATTTCAGTCTATGGTGAACACCATAGGTGGAGAGAACGCGAGAAGGCGAGACGGGGTGGCAAAATTGAGTGCCTGGTGGTGGTTCAATAATGCACACCTTCTTGCCTGAGCTCTCACCTCTATTCACACCTCTGTAAGCAGATGCTGACCTCGATTCTGCTCTTCTGCAACCGTCAACCAAACAGTGCTCACATGTTCGCCCCTCAGTCTGCATAACAAACCGGGTATTACGCCACGTTGGCTTTAAAATCCATTCCGAAATGCTGCAGATTGTGAGTGTATCATGGTGGCAGTGTTGTATGCAACTTTTATTATCCGTCATCTAGTTTAGGGTCTCCAGTCAAATTAATATATTTAAAATTTAAACGCCTAGAGAGCGATTAATTGGTACATCGTCGATAGCAATTGGGTTCTTTAAAAATATATCTGTGCTCATGTCTCTGCATTTGAACTCTGAAACATGCATGCATGTATTATTCACCCTTGTTCTTATGACAAGCTTGTATGACCTTTGAGCTTGTTTACATAGAAAAGTCGTTCATTGACAGGTAAGCTGATTCGACACAAATGTTTACGCTTCTTAATGTAATCGGAGTTTCGAGAAGGTTTTCTGGCCTCTTAAAAGGACAGCAGTTGACGCCTGATAATGTGATTTTTCCGTTTGTTAGCTAGCACCGAGAAGCCTGGCATGATAAAAGTTCAACACGCTTTTTTGTATATTTTTAACTGCTTCAGCCCTTGTGGAAAAAAAAGACGATGCCATATTAGCATCCTAGTCGATCCAGGCTCCTGTTACACTCAGTTTTATGACAGATTCCTAATGTGATAGACTTACTGCTTGTATCATTTCTAAATTAACTAATCTTACTTTGCGGAGGCAACCGTTAAAAAGGGATGTTGTCAGTTGAAAATTTTCAAATCAATCTTTAGTACATTTTCTTTTCAAAATTAACGGGACTTAAGTTTTATGCATACCTACGATACATTCTCATCAGGGTCTAGTAAAGGCAGGCAGAATAGTTATGTGATGCCACACGCCTACACAACGGTACACAATACTAGAGTTACTGCGTAAAACGGACGATGTCGGGAGAGTGTTTGAAAGGGTCAAATAAATCTTTGGTAAATTAAAAATGTAGCATGATTTTTTGAATCTCCTAATACTACGGCATACAATACCCGTGGAAAAGTGAGTGCTTATTAAAACTGTGCGAGATTACCTTGATTTGTGGATTACGGGATGCGTCCAGAATACTGCATGTTTTAAGGACTGAACTAAGATAAACGAGGCCGTAGCATGTGCTATGACTGGTGGAAAGTGCCACACGAATTTACTGGATAATTTTTTGAGTCTAATGAGGCTGCGTCAACAGTCCGATTAGTCAGTGTTCCTTGTGAGACCAGGTGCTTTAACGGTTCGGTATAAGTGCCAAATGGCCTGAGCAATCCGAAAAACATTTTTTTTTAAATTAACACAAAAATGAATACCATAAACATTTCTTTCCGCATGGGATTTAGGTCAATTATTTGAACCAAAACGAAGACATATTTGAGTAATTTTAGAGTAGGCGGGTCTCAGTCTTATCCGTCTGATCAGATTTTAGTGATTCAGTGTCAAATTAATTCGCTTGATAGCCCGTAGCTTGCAAATGCCTGTTTTTTAAAACTTATTCAACGAGACAATTTAATTAAGCGTATTTTAGCACAAACCGGTTTAAAAAGAAATTTGAGGCACCATTGCTTACAGATGAATACACCATGAAGCTTACGACAGTTACCTCGGTCGACTTTCTACTAAAGAATTTAGAAACCTTAATGCCTAAAACAGTCTTACTGCGCGTGAAAAAACCTTTTATGTCCCCTCAATTACGTCTTGCTGGTAAATTTGGCTAAAATTCTTACTCTATGGAAGTCTTGGTTTAATTTGCTCACTATTTTATGGCAACAGTGAGTTTTCCCCAGTACAGAAACCTGAAGGGGTTAAGCTGGTTGAGGATACGGTAAAACGCAACCTGAACGTAGCCTAAACCACACATCCAGGTGCACCGTTACCTGGGGTTATCGTGATAGCCCACTTGCTCTGTTAATTCTGCTCCGAATAGCCCTTCCACTCATGCTGCATTAGGCGACAACCCACGTGCCTCTACTTGATCTGAAGTTAACCACTCCACCGTTTTGAGTCATTTGTTTCAAGTAAGTGGAATCTTTGATATAAAAAAAGAACCTAATTGGGTTGCATTTTAATTACTGGGGGTTCTAACGCAATTATGGTACTCTTATAAATCAATGATGTACATATATTTTGCAGAATAAATGAGTTGGCAACTATAGTGATGCGCTTACCTTTCGTGAAGCCGAATCTAGTCAACCAAAATCATTCACTACGTTCAACCACTATGCAACGGTGAGTTAATATTCTACCTAACCATTTCATTGGTTAATTTGTTGTGTGAGTTGATCATTCACGTGGTTGAACAGGTATTGAGCAATGCGTGCATATCTGAGAAAGGCACTGTCTCGTTCACTGAATGATCCCTTAATCCACTTACTCACATTAAGCAAATGTCAATCACAGGTTTTAATTATGTAACATTCTAATGCAATGAAAC